GGAAGTGGTCATGGTCGGGGAAGGGGATGGGGTCGTGGTTGGGGTAGTGGTCAGGGAAGTGGTCATGGTTGGGGAAGTGGCTGGGGAAGTAGTCAGGAAAGTGGTTGGGCAAGTGATCATGGTCCTGGAAGTGGCTGGGCAAGTGGTCAAGGTCAGGGAAGTGGCTGGGGAAAAGGTCAGGGAAGTGGTTGGGAAAGTGGTCATGGTCGGGGAAGTGTTAAAGGTTGGTGAAGTGGTTATTGAAACGGTCATGGGCATTTTGCATAACACTTACTGGTGATCTTTTCAATTCAGTGCTTTTATTCATAATGGCATGTTTTCTATGTTTGCTCAAACAGTTAAGAGATTTTTCTGTCTCTCTCTCTCTTCTCTCCCCCACCCCCAAAAAAGTAAAAATAAAGAAAATTGCGATTTGAGGAGTTGATTGAGAGGTGTGTGTGGGGCTGGGGTTTTTTTTTTGTATAGTTTGGCTGATTTCACAACTGATTTCTGGCATCGGTGCTTTGTGTAAGTTCCTCTCCCTAAGACCCAAACACCCCTGGGGAGCCCTGATTTAGGAAAGTATTAGTCCATTTTTACACAACATAACGCATTGTCATGGGCAGGGGTTAAATTGGCTTTTATTATGTGGGGGGGGTGTTTTTTGCAAAGGATTTATTCTGAAGCAATATTCTCATAAGTTGTCTATCCGCTGTGACCATATAAATGGTGTGTTTTTGTTTTTTAAGAGGAATTTTTTTTTTCTTCTTCCCACTAGTCTCAATGCTTTCATTTCAGGTCCTTACATTTGATTTATAAATTCAATTACAATAATGTGATCTATACGTTAAATTTACACTGAAAAATGCAACTACATTAAATAAAAGAATCTCATAAGTATTTTTGAATATACAAACAAGAAATTATGGTGGAAATTGTACTTTTTCAATGAAATTAAAATGCCAGTAGTGAGTATTGAATGAGTGAGTCGTTCATTCAAATGATTCGTTCAAACAGCGGATTCGTCTGAGGTTTATGCATGGGCTAATGAAACTTTGCTCAACTGATTCGTTCAGAACACTGAATCAATCAGCATTGAATCGGCTGATTGCTGTGAGGTGCGTTGTGTTCCGCCTAAAATGTAAATGAGCTTTGGATGACCCCGGCCCAATTTAAACCCTGGTCATCGGGACTAGGAATTTATTTTTTATTTTTTTGCTGCAGCTGCTTTCCGCACCTTTTGCAGAGTCTTTGTACTTTTTCTGTTTTCTCATGGAGGTTCTTCTGATGGTCAGGAGTGACCGATGCATCTGCCTCATGGGCTGCAGTCAGTTTCTCCTCTGTACACATCATCCATTTCTAAGAAGTACAATTTTAAATATGTACTTTTTGAACTTTTACTAGTAAGCCTATGCAGTATAATGATTCAGGAATTACAAACGCTAGTGTAAATTACGAGTCAATGCTGTGATTGACAGTGATAAAGCAATGGATGGAACAAAACATCTGACGAGCCGATGTAAATAAAAAAAATCGAGCTGTGCATTAAATGATTTAGAATAAATTCAGAGTAACATAACTACTGCAGCAGCAAGTCTGTTGGCTGAATATATTTAGCAGCTTCAACAGTTAAAGAAAACTTAAAGGCAGGGTAAGCGATTTCTGGTAGCCAATGTTGACATTTGAAGTCACCAAAACAAACACGCCCCTACCCCAAAAGGGTCTCGCCCCTATTTTGATAGCTCTGCCCCACACATACGTATGCAACCCAGGCAACGATTAGTTCTGTGCAACAAAGCAAAACCAATGTTACACCGTGTCTACACCGGACGCGAGTGGCGGGCGTGACAAAATACTATAGAACTCCTAATCAGTGATGCTGTCTACACGAGATATATGGTCTACACTAGATGCGGCACAACACGACAAATTCCTGACAGAAAACGGCTGCTGCATTCTATTTAGGACGTATTGACAAATTTCAAATGATTTTCAACGGTCGCTTTATCGCATCCAGTGTACTAACTAGACAGACTTTAGCTGTTGCGGCGCAGACACAGTGTTACTCACCTATCGAGAAGAAACGAAGCAACCTCGGCGTTCGATCACAGGCCTTCCGCTCTTTGAGTTCTCTCCAGCGCTGGAAAGCTGATCCGATATTTACACAGGTCCTACTTCTTGCCTTAAGCCTTCGTTTGTTCCGCAGATGTTTTCCTCTTTTGTTTTTTATCCGCCATCTCTATCTTTCTGTCGCTCTGCTCGGACTGAACGCTCTCTCCTCCACATCATGAGTAGACACGCCCCTTACTGCTGATTGGCTACAAGTTTGTTTTGCTATTCGGCCCGAATCGGTTTTCTAAAGCGTTTTTGAAAAATCGCTTGCCCTGCCTTTTAATAGTTTAATTAAATCTACAAAATACTTAAATAGTTTAATTGTACTATTAGCGATCATAAACTTCTGTAGTAGGATTAAGAGAGAATTCTATCAAATCAAAATCCATACTCTTACAATTAATGCCTTTGCCCCTCCCACAAGACTTCCAAACAAACTCTTAGAGAAAGGAGTACTTGCCAACAAATTGAAATGGTGTTCAGCAGCAAGTGTCATAACGGATTCACTAACAAGAGACACATCTCCAAGTTATCAAATCAATTAACACAATTGTATCAAATAAGTAAAAAAACTAAAGAACAGACGAGCCCCCAATTGTTACCTAACTACCCATCTAGGGCTGGGGAGCCGGTAAAAAAATAAGAAAATAATATCTAAAGGAAAAACCCTTGGAGAACCAGGGCAATCCAACCTCCCATCCCAGAGTCTACACAAACCCCAATTCGAATTAATATCTTTTTCATTTGCAAAGATAAAGATAAACAGAAACCATAATCTCAAAGGAAGTGTTAACAAACATATAGGGAACAAAGACTTCAGGGACCTGTTCTTCATAACTCGCTTAATAAATCTGAGATGATTTGAAAGATGCCAGATCTTCTAATCGTTATAACTGATCTCTGGCTAATTTGGTTCTTCAAACTAATTTGCGTATTTGATTAAAATATCTGGATTAAGTTGTCTAAGATTACTGCGTGTTCTCGTGTTCCCTGTAAAGGGCAGATGTATCGATACTCGAAACCACGATCAGCAATGCAGCGATTGGCTGGTGGCAAGACAGCAACGTAATGAAGTCATACAATTAAATAAGACACCTGACAAAAAACTTGACAAATTTCTGGACCTTTATGAGGAAACAGCCAAGTGAACAAAACTATGTACATTTTGTAATAGGTCAACAAAATGTACACTGTTTTTATTTTATTTTAATTTATTTATTTTACATGATTCCCAATTATTTATATTCCCAATTACTAGTATTTGTACAGGCTTTACATTTTTAGTTTAATGTTGTAGTTAGCAATTCATGTAATTTTATCTTTGAAGCAGATTTGTTATGTGACTGCATTAAAGTTTCTTAAGGGTGAAGGTCAAGTTATCTGCGTCTCCTGTGCTCCATCAAGCCACTCCCATAATATCTGTCAGCACTCAAATTAATGCATGACTCAGATTAACTGTATGTGTGTAAGACTCTAATACAGTTATTATTTTATCACGAATAAATCTTTCAATTAGTAAAACTGGCTGTCTATAGTATTATAGATTACACAACATTATAATATTATTGTCCCCGGATAAGTAGGGAACTCTTGTAATAGAGTAGCAGTGGCTGGGATAGATTTCGAAATATCAGTTCCACTTAAAGATGCAATCTAATGCGGTTTACATGAAATAAGTGAACCACGCACCTGTGACAGCACCATCTCTCTGCTGAACGAGCTGAACATCATCTTCGCTCGCTTTGAGGCACAAAACAGCACCACTGCACAGAAGACTCCACCTCCTCCCGGCGACCAGGTGATGACGCTGTCCCCAGACAGCGTGAGGAGATCCCTCAGCAGGATCAACGCACGGTTGTTTACTTTACTGGTTTGCACTCTATCTGCCATATGCCTTGTGCTTTTATATATATTTTTACATTTGACCTTATTTGTATAGTTGTATTTTGTATTTAATCTGTATTTATGTTATCTGTATGCACCAAGGGTCTGAGAGTAACGCAATTGCAATTCTCTGTGTGTATGTGCTGTACATGTGGAAGAATTGACAATAAAGCAGACTTAAACTTGATAAGCTGCTCCCGAGCAGGTTTAAGCTTACGGACCTGTTGCTATGACAGCAAGTCCAGGATGAGCTTCGAAGAACCAAACAATCCAAGATCATGCCAAATCAACAATCAAATCCAGCTAACTGAGTTAGCGACGTACGAAGAACGGGCCCCAGGGGAGAGCTAGGCCAAAATAACAAACAAAACCAAAATAACTACCCCAAGAATATTTATAAATTACCTAGAAAAAGATAAAAATAAAGCTTCCCTCTCTTCCTGTCTGCCCCATAACCAGGAGAAAAAGAGAGGTACAAACAAAAATGGCACCCTCCTCCTACATTCCCTTAAATCAAAAGGAACATAAAAATACTAGTTAATATAAGACAGAAATAATCAAAAGGATTTAAAGCACTTCAGTTCTCTTTCTGTTCAAGAACACAACAAAATCCTGAGTTCACAATAGATCAAATAAATCAAACAACGAATGAATCCATTAGAACTGCAAATTCCTTAGGTCTAACTGGTACTTTAAATATATTCAAAAATGCCTTATGTTAATAAAACTCCATCATTGTTTAAGAGCTGGCTGACTAATATAAAACGGGTGCATCTCAATAAATTAGAATGTCGTGGAAAAGTTCATTTATTTCAGTAATTCAACTCAAATTGTGAAACTCGTGTATTAAATAAATTCAATGCACACAGACCGAAGCAGTTTAAGTCTTTGGTTCTTTTAATTGTGATGATTTTGGCTCACATTTAACAAAAACCCACTAATTGTTGATTTATGAATATGAATGGGGAGGAGAAATATACAACACCCCAAGCAAACACAACATCTAATTGGGCAAAACACCATTTGGGGTGTGTTAAACAGCCTGGTTTAAATACTCAGGACACCATCAAGCTTTTAGCTTTTTGTGTCTAGCTCTCTCGCCCTCTTCCTTCTTGCCTTTTCGGGCCTTGTTGTTTTTCTTTTAAATCATGCTTCTTTAGTTTTGAGCGTGCTCTGGCTTACACGCCATCTCCTCCAAAACCATGAGGAGAAACGCCACATGGTCTCGTCAAACTTTACTTCTATTTCTATTTCTTTAGTTTAGTTTAGTTTATTTTCCGTTGAGAGTTTCGTGTTTTGAGTTAAGTTTGCCTAACGCCGCATCCAACACGAGTTTCACAATTTGCACAGATTCATAGTGGCCAGATGGAGTAATGAAGGCTGTTTTCCACTCGTCACCCTCCCGAATGCGAATTAGGTTGTATGCGCCCTGCAGGTCCAGCTTGGAGAAAATGCGAGCTCCACGGA